TCTGGTCTCATCGAATTATTTAGTTCTAGAATTGTTTAACAGTACTGTTGAAGAGAGCAACATCAGTTGTTCATTTTACAGTTATCATTAGGCACTTTAAGCACCTTCAATATTTCTTTGTTGTCGGCAGGCACTTAATGCCTTTGACTGTTGGCTGGTTGAGTTGGTGAAAATAATGTTCTTGTAGACAGTGGATGCAGCTTTTCGTTCACATAAAATATACTGATTTATATAACTTTTCGAATGATGATAAATGCTGACTGCAGTGAGGTGATAGCTTTGCACAGTTGCACAGTGGACCTTGTTCAGTTGATCTCATCAGAAAACATTTTGACAAATCTTCCGAATGGTAGCCAGCACTGCTGTGTGCAGCTACTTCGGCCGTTATCATAATGATATCGTCAGGCTGTCAACGATACCTTAGGAAGAGCATTTGCTTAGAAAAGCTTCATCGAAGAGGAGTCACTCAGCGCAGTTCATTGAAGCGTTATTATGATCCGATTAAGTGGTGAATGACGAGTACAGATTTGCCTGAACTAATCTTGAAAATTTGTGATATCCCATTGAGTATGCTAAAAATTACTATCCAAAGAACAATTTCGCTGATACTTCGGCAGGTATGTGAGGAATGAGGTTGAAAGCATCGTGCGATCAGTTGCCTATTGGCGATCATGACCGTCTGTTGCCTATCGGCCTATAAACCTTGTAAATGGGATCGTCATTGTTCATTGCTTAACTCGTTAACGACCTTAATGAGCAATGCTGATTAATGTCGTTAACGAGTTAGCCAATGAACGGCGGCCGCCGTTAAATAAGAAACTTTTGTTTGATCTGAAACGAATCGTCAGAATTCGATGAAAACCAAAAGTTTGCTTTGGGTGGTTATCACCATCCATGACATTACCATTAATACTTCAAAAAGTTTCTTACTAATATCAATGTCAGTGTTTCCATCACTGTCAATCAATCTTTACCATCAACAATAACCGACTGACTGATGATGATGAAGTCGGCAAAAAGTTGAAATTTATGTCTTCAATCTTTCGCATTTCATCTGATAGACAAAGCAAAGAACAATTCTCGCATCGCCGCCATCACCATCATCAAAACTAATTTCGAACATCAAGGTTCCTGCCCAGTTTTTCAACTCGCCACTGCTCTCCACCATCAAAAACGTTTTTTCCCTCACAACACTCTCGTCCGTATCATTTTTATCGTCCTCTCTCTCTGGTTGATCATCGGTCGATTCATCAGAACACTGAAAATTTCCCCATAAAACCGCACAACCTTTCCAGAAGCTCATCACAGTTCCAGTATGCCACTCACTTAGACAGTGATCGGTTGCATCATTTTAAGTTTTCTTCAGCTATAGGCTCGTGCTTCTGATGCAATCCTCTACTGCAAATTCGTTTGAATGGTACTAAATTATCGTCTACCTTCTCCTGAATCATCAGAAAGAATGTTTTGAGTCGAGAATCAAGGTAATCCATGCTTAGAGCTGATCGAACTACCAGTTACGGCTTTAATGTGAGTAATCCTATTGCTGCACGTTCATGAATTTATGACGGTTCCGTTGGTTTTCGAGCTGAAGAAGGCATTCAAAACGTTTAGATTAAGTAATTCTTGATTT